GAACAGGGAAAGAGAACCTGATGCAGAGCCGAAATAGGTATGTATGCATGCATGCTGCATGTATGCAAGGGGGGCGAATACGAGGGAGGCCGAGCGTCGTCGATTGATAAGTGGCGTTTGGCGGGGTGGGTTGGGAGGGGTGTTGGTGGGTGGCTGATGATAGGAATGACGGATCGGTTCGAGTTGGAAGGAAGAAGTTGGTAGGGTAGGGTGGTATCGATGAGTCGACTAAAGGGGCATTTCGGAACTGAATCTGAGCGCACTACCGCGACCTGCAAGCGATGAACCATTGTTGATGCCAGGGCTCGTGGGCCGGCTATTACCTGCAGTCCATTTGGGGCTTCGCGGCTGCGTGCTGGTCGAGCGAGTCGACGGACGATTCTTCCGGATTTCCCGAAGTTCTTCTTCCTTCCGGCGGAGCAGATCTTCCCGGGACGTGAGGGTTGCTTCGAGTTCGAGGACCCGCGCGAGATGGCGGGCTTCGTCGTTCTTCGTGTTGAGTTCGCGCAGATGGGCTGCGTCTCCCTCGACCTTCCGTTTCAGGGTTTCGTTCTCGCTGCGCAGTTGGCGAAGCTCGTTGCCTGATTGTGCGGCTACGGTCGAGGCGGTCTGGTATTGTTCGCGCGTGTATTCTGCTTGTCGGGCTTCGTATTCGGCTTTGCGTTCTAGCGAGGCGTTGTCTTTAGTCAGACGTCGAATGTCTTCCCTTGCTGATTCGAGTTCAGCTGCACTGCCCCCGCCTGCTTTGAGGGACTCGCGGGCCTGTTCGAGTTCGTGTCGGAGCTGGGTCCGTTCGTCCTTCAATTTCATGAGCTCTTCTTTCTGCTTTTCGACTCGCTGGTCGGATGTGGCCTTAGCTTGGGTGAGACGGTCATGCTCCCGTCGGAGTTTGTGGAAGTCTCTGGTCCGTGTTTCATAACGGTGCTGCAACTTTTCCAGCACGTTCTCTCTTTCTTGAAGACGGGCTTGGGCTCCTGCGAGAGCTTTCTGGAGTTTTTCGAGCTCTGCTGCATGTGAGTTCTGCATCTGAACAATGTTCTTCTCTAGCGTTTGGAGTCCACCGTTTAATGGTTGACTAGGGAATCCAGTCGATTCCGTGGACTGGGTTGGTTCTTGCGTCGGCTCTTCCGTCTTCGTTCTCTTGGCTGACTGTTCGACCTCATCGTCTTCCTGCTATCTCGATGTTAGTGCGACACATCAGGAACATTTGACATTCTGATCGACTTACGAATGCTCGTTTATGGGCTTGAGAAGTCGTCAGTTGAATGTCGACACCAGGTCGACTGTGCAGCTCTTGTTGCGATGCCTCAAGCTGCTCAGGGCTCAGAATGTGCAAAGGCTCAATGTGAGGTAGAGACCAATGAGCGTTAAAGTTATCCGAGACAAGGCAAGTGAGAAGTTCTTCTGCATCCTCCTGCACTCCAAGAGCATCATCCTGAAGGTCACCAACCACGTCACGGAGACGTATGGAGTATTGCAGGAGTGTCTTAAGACGTTCCGGTTCCGGAAGACCAGAGAAACATAGTTCGATATGTTCACTGGAGTTTGACACTAACAGACGAACCACCGGAAGCAGATTGCCATTGCGAGCGAATGTGGTTCGCATGTGTTCCACCGTGGGTGTTTGGCTGCTGAAAGACTTATCTAAAGCGATGATAGCAGCAGGGGCTTTGTATGTCTCCATAACCCCTTCATTACGCGTGGTCTGGATCCCAAAACTCAAGGAATCCTTGACCATGGAAACCTCAATATTCGTGCCCGATCCCATTTCCTGGCGTGGACGAGTATACGACAGGCCCTTGCCCATCAGATAACGTTCAACCACCCGCTGAGTCTTTTCTCCTTGCACCATGATAACCAAATGTATATCACGCATGCTGGCTGACTCCAAAAGGTAGCTTAAGAGCAAAAACTTTGCGCTTGAGTACTCAGCCCAAGCAGCCTCTCTCCCTAGGTCTGACTCAGAGTCTTTGATGTGTTCCGCGATGTTCAGATCTGGGTGCGTAGAAATATTGCTCAGACGATCGAGTATTTCATGCATCTTCGGCACAAGAAGATCACGCTGCTTGCTAGTCAGTATTGAGCAAAGTGACGGAGGGTGGACATCGAACCTGATAATCGCCGAGGAAATCGCGAATACTCTGGCTTTCGCTCGTCAGAACCCGTTCATAGTCATCCTTGACCCTGGAATCCATTGGAAGAGGCACAGCAAACTCCGACGGCCCAAGATGGACCGAACCAGGTGTTGGCTCTTCTGCGAAGTGCATGGACAATGCGCTAGGCTGAATAGTCTGGGGAGGTCCCATCTCCAAAGGCTCAACAGGGGGGAGTGTAATATCCTGGTCCACTTCAACATCTTTAGGATGTGTTGGTTCCTTATCGACTCGGACGCTAAGGGGAGCTGTCGTCTCCGGTACAGAAATAGGGACAGAAGGCTCTATGTCTCCGGCAGATGATGGCGTCGCACTTGATTCAGGGCCAGGGTTGGCTTTTGCGCGTAGTTGTGCATATGCATTTCTGAGCTTTTCCCTCGGGGTGGACCCTTCAAACTGGCTGTACTTCTCCATGGTATCGGACAACGACGGCCCTTCCTTCTCTTGACTATCCATGCTGTTTCTCGATCTTGAATAGAAAAGTTGGTTCAGTAATGAACGAAAGCTTGAAGCAGAAAGTTGACTCGCTGGGGTCTGCGGACCGTTTACAGCAATTGACTCGGGTACTGTACTCGCACGTCTGAATAGCTGGGGTTCATCGACTGGATCACACGGGGTTTCAGGTATTTCATCAGCTTCTTCTGCCGGGTTGGCTGGCAATAGCGCGGGTAAGTTTGAAGTCGACGGCGCAGCAGAAGATTCGTTATGCGGAGTTTCCGGGATCCCTTCAGTGACGTTCGGTGTGTCGGTATTTCCTGAGCGGTAAGGTGTGGTCGGCGTCTCTTTGACTTCGTCCGAGACTATGGGTTCGCAGGAAGTCGAGATGATAGCAGCGACTTCAGTAACACGGGCAGTGGGTACCACTTCCGGGTCAAGTGGGCTGTCCGTCACCGATTGTGACGTATGGCTGGGTACTTCTGTATCAATACCGGAACTCCTCAGTAATCCGCCGGCTTGGTCATCCAGAAACAAAGTACTTTCTGGTACGGGGCTAGGCGGAACAAAGAGAGGAGGGGTCGAGGACTGTCTAGACCGGGATTCGTCAGTCGGGGCTTCAGTCTGGGGCGGACTGGGTCTTGGGCTTAAGGAGTCTCTACTGTGTTCTTGAACACTGGAGACGGGTGGCGGTGATGGTGATGGTAGTGGTGGAGTGTTACTTCGAACAAATTCCTCTTGGGCCTGATCTCTTCGCTTTTTGTCCTCCCAGACTTGCACGGCAACGTCGTTGGCGTTTTCCTTCGGTTCCTGGTATTGCACGGCAGGCAGTTAGAACAGTGAAGCTCCCAGTACTTCCAACAAGCCTCCAATGAAGCAAGGACTGGCAGAAAGTAGAGGACATATCACTAAGCTCACCCAAGTAGGCGTCCAAGGTCCTTCCCAGTCAATCAAATATTGCGATTCGATCTCGTCAAGTATACAGTTGATAAGCCACTCGTCTGCACTCAGAGCTTCGCTATCGGTGTCTGCCTCGTTGTCGCTAGAATGAACGACGTGCTGGGTTCTCCAGCGTTTCTTTCGTTTGTGGCTTGTGTGGCTTGTATATATCGTAGAAGAGGACTTGCGCTTGCGCGACATTATACGCAAGCAGAGAGCGTGGCCGAGGTGTAACAATCCATGGTAGAGTATTGGAGCTAAAGCGATGGGATGTTGAACGAAAGGTGGAATAGCGAAGGTAGAAGAGCTTGCTGAGGTCGCAGTGTTTGGAAATGCAGCTATAGTCCAGGAAAAGGGCGAATCCTCGAAAGAAGGGCAAGGATGAGGGGTGTTTGGAGGAAGTGGATCATAAGATGGATTGAGGAACAGTCCAGCTGGTGATGAAGTCGACGGAACCAACGCGGGTGATCGACCGGCACGTGATGGCTGCTTATCGGCCGGGCCTACGGAGGTAAAGAGGGAATTCAGCTTCGGGAATCTCTCTATGGGAATAATGGTATATTTCACCTGGTAACACTGGAGTGAAGTAAGTCTTTGTTAACAAGATCAATGGGAGGAAGGAGGTTGGTTTCAATGTTACTGCTATTCCGCAGTTCGCCGAAGCGAAAGACGGAAAGGATTCATTCCCCATGCACCGGTCTGCATTCTGGACTCGACCAGCGGATGGGCCGGTTCTTGCATGCGCAGAGAGCTTTCCTCGAGAAGATGGTTTGTAGCTGTAGCTTACATGTAGCACAAAATGAATGTACTCCCTCCAATATCTGTGACCGTTTCTGGTGGAAGCCGCCGTCTCGACTCAATGGTGGTTTCTACAGTCGGCAGCCCTAAACCTGAGGAACGGAGCCATCCAGAGGCCAACACGAATGTCAGTCAACTCACACACATTGAATTTGACACTTATTCATCAGCTATGTTGAGTACCAAACTACCAATGAACTGGTAATCAGTAAGTCTAGTGTGTTTGAGGGTGTCTCAATTGTTCACTTCCGATATTAACTATTAACACCCATAGCCTCGGGTAACACCGCAGTGATATCCCTCTTTGTTCCAATTGTTACAGAGATACATAAAAGTAATTGTTTAGTAGTTATTGAATTGATTGAAGTTTCACTCTTTAGTCCAAGAGACTGTGGAAACCATGGCTTTATCACTATGAAGGATGTCATATACATCTCTCCCTTCGGGCTTCTCATATTGCGAGTGGAAGTGAGATTTATAAGTTAAACTATAGGACATATGCATTGGGCTCAACTGCATGAATTAGTTATTATATGCTCTTTTTTTTTTTTTTTTTTTTTTTTTTTTTTTCCAATGCAATAATGTCGGTGAAAGCACATCTTGTCTACCAAACCTGCAGAAGCTACCAAAGCGGGAGGGTTAGCAGCACTGCTTCCCGGGCACTTATCAGGAATGTGGGGAAGCTTTTGCAGCCATTTCTCTCTACCAACTAAATTCCTCCTCCCCCAAATCAACCCTATCCATTACTTTTACTTGCCCCCATTAGCTACCTCATCAGCTGCAACACCGATCCAATTCTCCATTTTAACACCTCGTGGAGAAGCATAACCAGGAACAATGGAGTCAGTGCACAAAATCCTCGCATCAGCGCGTGCAGCACCCTACGGAAATCTCCTCCCAGCCGGGGACAACCTATTTCTCTCCGTCGCCGAAGCAGTACAAGACCACATGAGCAATTACGATGCATCGCATGACTTTAACCACATTCTTCGGGTCCTGGCACTATCTCAACATATCCTGCTCGCTGAATTCAACACTACAAAGACTTATGACCCTACCGTGGTCCTTCTCAGCGCGTAAGTAACCAAAACCATAACCACTTATCGTAGCCAGCCCACTACAAATTATTTTACTACCATTCCACATTTAACTTGTTCTAACGAAAAGAAAAACAAAAGCCTTCTTCACGACGTGAACGACAAGAAATACGCCCCACCAGTCATCGAAGGTCAGCAGCAGACCTCGAAAGTGACTCTGGTGTTGCAGCAAGCCGGAGCCTCGGCAGCCCTAGCAGCTAGGGTAGAAGAGGTGGTCAATCACGTTTCGTACTCCACTGAGACCAAGGACCCAAATAAGGTGCTGTCCGTTATACAGCAACATCCTGAACTTGCTATCGTGCAGGATGCGGATCGTATTGATGCCATTGGAGCCATTGGGATCGGTAGGACGTTTACCTTTACGGGCGCTAAGTTGGCGGGTGCTAGTATGCAAAATTCGAGAGAGCATATTGATGATAAGTTGGAGAAGTTGGAAGGGATGATGAAGGTAAGTTTTTTATTTTATTTTATTTTATTTTATTTTATTTTATTTTATTTTATTTTATTTT